TAAACATCTGTTGAACAAATGGATTAGAAAAACTCAGCAGAGTACGAGATTTGAAAACAGGAAGTAAAGGAAGTAACTGATGTAACAAGGTATCCAAGGAGGCCAGAGGGGATTAAATTCAAAGCATTAGATGGAAGATAACATGTATGCATATGTAAAAAGTGAAAAGATACGTGCTAAATCAATGATGGCCATAGAAAGTCAAAGGCTTGTTAGAACAGATGTCTTTAGAGAAATCGTATTTAATTGAGGTGGCCGTGGATGGCTTCAAAGAAGTAGTTGGGACAGAAGGGATCGTTAGATTTTATTATTAACTATAATCTTTTAAAAATTTATAAAAATAGGAGGAATTGGATAATTAAATTTGTGTTTCAGGTTGGGCTCTCTGAGGAGCAGGCATTGAAATGGAGTTAGAAGTACAAAAGGTTACTGAAGAGTAGCACCTGTGAAAGGAAAAGGAAGGAAGCAGGATCTGGTGGGGGAGCCACTAGATTATCATGCAGCTCTGAGAATGCTTTTGCCATCCCAACATCAAGCGGGTCCTTATCTAATACTATGCCTTGCTCAGTCTTTGGCTGAGGATCTATATGGGGGAGAGGGGTTACCCTGAGAACAGTATAACTTCAGCTTGAAAGCTGAGGTGAACCTAGAAAGAGTTAACAACTGGAGGCTGTCAGCTGCCTATATGCCTTGCAGATGGGCAGTAAGTCCTTTCTTGAAGGAAAGTCTGTGACTGCTGTACATTGTAGGATGTCAATTCAATCCAAATGAAACTACAACATCACTGAAGAACATTTTTGACAAGTTAAACAATGTTGATCAAAGTATTTGGAAGACTAAAGGTTCACATTTAGCCAAGTTAATTTGAAAAAGAAGAGCAAAGAGGATGGATTTGCCTTATTGTGCATTAAGATATTCTATAATACTATGGTAAATAAAAACAACACGGTACTGGTGTAGTCACAGACAAATTTACCAATTGAAAAAGAGGTCAGAACCAGAACAATGTATAAATGGAAACACAAAGATAGACAAGTGGCATCAAAAACCAATGGGAAGGGACAGACTGAGTAGAAATAGAAAAAAATAGGCTAGATCTTCAACTTACACCATATACAGGGATGTATTCCAGACATAATATAGACCTAAATGTGATTTTATGGAGAGAGTAATGAACTGTAAAAGAAATAGAATATAGAATACTTTTGTGATCTTGAAATACAGACTGCGTTTTTAAACAAGACTCCAAGTAATAATACTGTATCCACCAGCTAGGAGAGAGAGCTGAAGAATCTGAGGAGGAGTTAAGCACACTATAGAGAATACTCCTGAGATCAGGGTAGCTAAAAGATGGAGGCAACTAATGGTAACAAACCATAAAGAGACATAAGTCTGTTAGAATACATATTATTATATTGGCTATACGAAATATTTTCTCCTTCCTATTTAAAATGAAGCACATATCCTTCAATACACATTTTTGAGTTCCAGACACTGTGCTAAGTGCAGGAAGTAGAAAGAGGAATAAGCTTGAGGCCCAGTCCTTAGAACTCCTACTCTACTGGCAGGAAGAGACAGGAGAAAACTGGAGTGCAGTGGAGAAGTGGAGTAAATAAATGTTTTAACTCTTATTCTACAGGTAGGGACCTATAACTTAGGGTATCATTGAGGAATTGGCATTTGATCAATGAGGAAAGTCATTCTGGAAAAAGAAACAGCACTAACAAAGTCACAGGGCTTTGAAAGAAGGGTGTGTTGGAAAATATTAAGTAGATAACCTAATACTGGATATTCCAAAATGTTCATGTTACTGAATAGAGAAAGTAGTCTATGGCAGTTATTTTAATCTTCTCTTACTAGCATTGATGATCACATTAACTAACTGTCACCTTTGGAGGCAGGGCCAAACAAGATTAAGCAATGAAGTGATGAGGAATAAATGTTAATAAGGTTAAGGAAGAAAAGCATGCTAGGAAGCAACAATGACTAATTCCAGAGTGATAGCATTGTACCATGGATTTAGCTGAGGAAGAGATTGCTATCAACTACAGTGCTCAGGAAAGATTTCACGTAAGTGGTAGGGCTTCATTTGGTCATTCAAAAATATAGTGGATCCTTATTATATGCAGATTCTGTATTTGTGAGTTTGCCTGTTCACTAAAATTCATTTGTAACCCTAAAATCAACATTTGCAGTGTTTTTGCAGTCATTTGTATACATAAATATAGAGGCAAAAAATTTGAGTTACCTGATGCACATGCTCTCAGCTGAGGTTGAACAAAGGGAGGCTCTGCCTTCTTGTTTCAGCTCTCATTCTGAAACAAGTATTCTTTTCATGGTCTATTTAGTATCACATTGCTTAAATTTTTGAACTTTTTGTTGCTGATTTCACTATTTAAAATGGCCCCCCAGTGTAGTAGTGAAGTGTTGTCTAGGTCCCTAAGTACAAGAAGGCTCCTCTTTCTCTGTATTTTACAGAGAAAATACACGCATTACATACACTTTATTCAGGCATGAGTTATGGTGTCATTGGCCATGAGTTCAATGTTAATGAATCAACAGTATATATTAAATAAGGTGCCTTCAAACAGAAACACACATAAAACAAGATGATTTATTATTGGCTCACAAAAGTATTGTGACTAGAGGCTTGCAGAAACCTAATCCTGTATTTCCCCTAGAAGCAATGCTTCCATATTCACTAATTCAGCATTTGTGGTTGTTTTATAGAATATAACAACTGCAAATAAGGAGAATTGATTATATATATCAGGGGCTGTTCTTGAAGCAGGGGATTCAAAGCTATAGTCTACTAAGGAACAGATAATCAGGTAATTGCAAAACAAAACAATGCATGCTATAACAGAAGAAAGGACAAGCTGATATGAGAAAATCTCAGAGGGACTCTTGCTTTAGAGCAGGGAGGCCAGGAACGGATTTTCAAAAGTGATGCTGTATGCACTAAATTTTAATGGATAAGTAGAAATCCATCAAATGAAAGGGAGGGGAAACACATTTGCAATGGTTGTTTAATGAAATAACACATTTCTTTCAAGGAACTGAAAATAGCTCAGGATGGCTGCAGCAAAGATTGAAATAAGTTTCTAGGCAAATAGGAAGGTGTCTAATTTATGAAAGGCCTTTTATAGGATGTTAAAGAATCTGTTTTTTATCCTCAAGATAATGCGGAAGTCGAAGATTTTAAGCAAGAAAGTGACATGATTAGATCCAAGTTTTAGAATTATTGCTATTAAAGGCAATGATAATGAATGCAACTGAAGATGAACTGATATGGGGGCAGTATAAAAAGGTAGAGATTAAAAGGCTGTTGCTATTAGTTGGGAAGAGTAAGAGAAGACTTTAAATATGACAGTAGCAGTAGCAAGGTTTGAGCAGTCAGAGAAAGTGGAGGCATTCTCTGTGGGAAATGTGAACAAATGTTTGGAGAAAGGGAAGGTGAGCAAATCAGTTTACCTGGAGTAAGTAGTATTTGACAGAAACTCTGGAAGGCTGAAACGGAGAGCCAGAGTTATGGAACAGTTGGTGATGAGGTTGAAAATATTGGCGGAGTCAGCCTCTGGCAAGGCTACAATAAATAGGCTAAACAATTATAATTTTAACTTCCAGCAATATTAAATTTATAAATAATTTTTATTGTAAAATACATATAACAAAAAATTTACCATTTTAATCATTTTTAAACATATGGTTCCGCGGCATTAAGTACATTCACACTGTTGAGCAACCCTCACCACCCATCTCCAGAACTTTCATCCTCCCAAACTGAAACTCTATACTCACTGAAAAATAACCCCTCATTTCCCATTATCCCCAGCCCTCCTCCACCTCTGCTTCTAGCAACTACCATTCTACTTTCTGTCTCTAGGAATTTAGTTATTTTTTTGATAGATATCTCATATAAGTGAAATCATAATATTTGTCCTTTTGTGTCTAGCTTATTTCACTTAGCTAAATCACTTTAATCAACACTCTAGTTATTTAGTAGCTGGATTCTAATTTGCATCCTACTGTATAAGCTATATTTTAAAACAAATGTCTAGCTTTGTACTTGATAATGTTTCCACTTAATGCTTAAGAACACTTCACTCTAGCAAATTATAAACTCAAGAGTTCGTAAGGACAATTTAGTCTCCCACTGTGTCTCCCATAAAGAGCTTTTATTAGTCTTCTTACTGTAAGTGTCTTTAGATTGTGAATTATTTTCATTCCTCTATCGTTAATGGACCCTAAGACCCTTTGCAAAATTCCACCTGGAACCTAAATAGAACTCAGGCAGGAATCAAACTTATTTCACAACCCAGGAAAAAGGAACTTATTTATTGGGATGCTCTCTTCTTTGATACTATGTAATCTCCCCGAGACAGAGCCGAATCTGCTCTAAATAAAAAGAATTTAAAAAACAACAAAACTTTTCTTATCTTTATCTGGGAAAAAGTTCGAAAGTTTCATATGATTGGAAACTACTTGAGAGATGTCAAGTTTACCTTACCCTTCTCGTGGGGCATCCCCAAATCATTAGGGCTCTGCTCAACGAGTTATTTTGGACAAGACACTAATTCTCTGGAGGTCTCCGTGGGTTAGATTAGACCACATCGCAGCACACACAGAATATGATATTGGTGGGGCACTGAGGTAAACTGAGGCGGCAGCACAGTGCAGGACATCTCGAACCCACCGGCCACCCTGAGTCCGGCACACCAGTGTGGACGCTCTCAATGAGCTATCTGTCCCGCAGGTTCGTTTCAGCTGACACGCCACGGCTTCTTACCCGGGAGGAGCTGGGGCTACTGCTGTTTCTCAAGCCTTTCCCTCCTCGTAGAAAAGAAAGTCGTCATTCATCAAGAGAACCAAAGCGGAAAAAGGCACTAAGACCGCAAGCCACGTTAATACGCAAATACCGAACTACCGCACTTAACCGCCGCGCTCTCGGTCGATCTTACGTCTCTTCCCAGCAGGCTCAGGGAGTCACCGCGAGACTTCATCAATTCTCGCGAGATTTATCGGCAGCCATCTTCTTGGGGGTGCTGAGAGCCGAGAAGACCCCCTGAATCGTTCCCGTTGAGCTGCCCTTCTTCTTCGCTTTCTTTACTTTTGCCTCTTCTGCGTTGCCAACAAGCACCTAGTTCCGAGACTGAGCGAAGGCCTGGGTCTAAGCGCGTGTCGCGCTTCCGGTCCCGGTAGATTTGCTGGGGAACACAGAAGGGGGAGGGCCCGGGCAAACCGTTGCTGTCTCAGCCCGGGCCGGGGGCCAGGGAGGGGGAGCTCCTGGCACCCCGTGGACTCGCGGCCTGCGGCGGTCCCCGCAGAGCTGTTCGCCGATCCGGGCTCGCGGGAACCTGCCACCGGCGCCTCCCACCGCGGCCCACGCGGGCGGCGCGCGGAGGAGGGGGCGGGGGCAGCGGCGGCTGTAGCGGCCACGACCTGGGCGGGCGGAGTGTGACGGGCCTCGGGGCCGCTGTGGATGGTTTCTAAAATGATCATTGAAAACTTCGAGGCACTCAAGTCCTGGCTCAGCAAGACTCTCGAGCCCATGTGAGTATTCGGGGGATATCTCGTTGCAGGGGTGGCAGTGGGAGATAGGTGGACCCACAGATCTGTGCAGTTTCCCCAGGTGCCTGCAGTGGAGGCCGAAACGGTGAACGGAGGTCCCAGGGCTCTGTATTTTCTCTTCGTTCACCCTCGCTTCCAGGTTCAAGATACCCCTGAGAGCCTGAGTCGAGCTTTATTTTGTCTTTGAGCTGGTCTTCGAACCAGTGCCTCCTGCTCTTGTTTCCCCGTTATATGTAGACCAACCCCAACCTCCCCGCACACACCTATATTTTCTGAGGGCCTCAAAACGGATTTCTTTTCTTTTAGTGAATCCGAGAAGACCCTCCTACCTACAGACTCTTTTACCTTGTTTTTTTTTTTTTTTTTTTTAAATGAAGCGAACAGCATTAATTGGGGGTTAGGGCAGTTCTACTTTAAATCACTCACGTTTCACCTCAATACAATCCCTGAAAGAAAGGCCACGTCTCCCATGTGCTGTCTGGCTCATCTGCACCTGTCTTAACTGATTGAAGATGTAACAGGTGCTGAGGTGCCCAGTAAAATTCCCTTTTCCCGCCTACACGTTCGTTCAGTCTTCATCCATATGGAATATTTAGCAGTTTTAGAGTAGGATGCTATGGATGGACGGGGGTGGGGGGTAGTTAGAGTGATGAAATGTCTTAGATTGGAAAATTTAAGGATTTATTAATACAAAATATAGAATGGGGCAAGTGCTTTATCAGAATTGGTTCGTTTACATTAAACAACTTAAAATGCAGTGAAAAAAATTCACTCATTTAATAACTTATTAAGCACCTACTATGTACTGTGGGAGGCTTTGAGGCTAGAGCTTTTAAATTTTGAAGTCGACAAGACATAAATAAGATCTTTTCAGTTATTAATAGAGATATGGCCATTGTAATAATAATCATGTAAAAGAGTGATTAGAGTCGGGGCTAGTTCACATCAGATGGTCAAGGAAGGCCTCTCAGAGTAGGTGACATTTGAGTAACACCGTAGGAGGAGAAGGAGCCATCTATGTTAAAGTTAGGGAAAAGAATGTTCTTTGTAGAAGGAAGAGCAAGTGCGAAGGCCCTGTAGGAAAAATGATCATGGTGTGTTCTAGGAAGAGAAAGGCCATTGTGGCTATAAGGAGCCTTGTGATGGGGGAAATGGAAAAACATGAAGTTGGACAAGTAGATAGGAGCCAAATCATGTATGGGAAGACATTAGATGATTTAAAGCAGACAAGGACGGATTCGATTTTGTTGTAGCTCTGTTTTGTGGAGACTAAGAAGGACAAAAATGGATGCAAGGAGACTATTCTGAAGGGTATTGTAGGCAGAGATTTAGGTAGTTTGCAGCCGAGTGGTAGTGAAGACAGAAAGAATCAAATATGTTTCATAAGTGGATCTTACAGAACTTGCTGATGGATTGAATATGGGAGATGAAGGAAAGAGAAATCAAGGATGATGCCTAAGAAGTTAGCCTAAGCAACTTAATGGGTAATGGTAGAGAGTCTGGGACAGAACAGGTGTAGTGGAGAAGGGAAAGGTGATTGGTTTTGATCATTAAGTATGGAGTTTGTTATGCCATCTGAGATGTCAGATAGGTAGTTGGTTATATGAGTCTAGAACTCAGGCCTGGATGAGAGAAATTTGGAGTCATGGAAATAGTATTTAAAGCTTTGGAATCGTAGGAGATATTCTAGGAAGAATGTGTAGATAGGGAAGAGAAGAAGGCCTAGGACGAGGTAGGAGGAGAACTGGGCTATATGTCATTAAAGTGAGAAAGAAATGTATAACAAAAGAGAGGAGTTGGCTAACTTTATGGGATGCTGCAGGATGGATGGAAAAAAGGCTGATAAATAGTCCTTAGATTTGGCAAGGTGGAGGTCATTGGTAACCTTACCAAAATAGTTTCACTGGGGTGGAATGGTGCTAATGGAAGCCCTGTTGCAGTGTATTTGGAGAGTGGGCAGCATGGTACGGGTGTTGAGAGGGAGAACTAGAGCAGAGTGGCTAGCTTTCAATTCTGCCTCTGCCACGTACCAGCTGTATAAGTTACTTAACTCACTGCTTCCATTTTCTTAACGGTAAGATGGGGAAAATAATGAATATATATTAAGCAAGTCTATAAACGCCACCTGGTGTGTAATTAGCATTCAAAATAAATATTAGGTGAACAGAAAACTTTTGAAAAATGTTTCGGGTTGAAATAGCTCTTCTTTTTTTGAGCAGTTTCATATCAGATGTACTGCCATTTTTTCTCCAGTAACCTGAAGAGAAGATTATAGCTATTCAGAGTATATGCTTATACATTTTTTTTTTTTTTAGTTTTAATAAAACATGTTCTACATATCATAAAGCCTTCTCACATGGTTGTAGCACTGCAGTCATTACTGTTGTAATAAATAAGGCACTGCTAGTAGAGCCTAGACAGAGGTAGGAATTGTGATTGGTCCTTTTCTAATGTACATAGCTGTGGTAAAATTGAGCCCTTATCCAAGTTCCTGTCCCTTTAATTGCTTTTCAGGTGGATTCTTTTAGGTGATGATTATAAAAGCTGATCCCAGTTACTTAAGACCAGTGATTTCTAACCTTGGTTTTGTGAAACTAAAGATCTGTTATCTATAGGGATTTTTACTTTACTTTAACATTGTAATTGAGAGAGGAACATATGAAGGACCAAAGGTAAGATTTAACTTGAAGCTTATATAGAACTTTTTAGCTATTTGTGCTAGTAAAATACTACGTGGGTTTGGACTTACCATGCATTTTGAATGTATTTATTCAGCAGACTTATTGGGTACTTAATCTACTCTGTGCTGACCAGTGTGCTAGGTATTAGGGAAATAGTGGGAAACATGACCTAAAATGACTATCTTCATTTTGTTTACCGTTTAGCAGGGAAGACAGATGTTGAACAGGTCATTATAAGACTAATGAGTGTTGTGAAGAAGTCCAGAATGCTGTCAAAATATATGTCTGGGGAGGTCAGGAAAGGCTTCCCTGGTGTGGTAACATTTATCTCAGCTTGGAAGGATGAAGAACAGTTTGCTGGGGCAAAAGGATGGGAATGGACACCTGTGAAAGCGTTCTACTTGATTATAAGTTCTGTAGGTGTATCAGGGTTCCGAGTTTCCTTTTTCATAAATTAGTGACAATGTAGGTATTAAAATTGCTATCTTGAAGTACTTAGGACTGATGTTTTGTTATCACAAACATTTGCTTAGTCATACTTGCTGCTAATAATAATAATAATAATAAATTAGATGTTGGTCTTCTAACATTCATTTCTTTTTGATAACGTGAAGTCCTGGAAAAAATTTAAGCTCTTTTGTTGTTGTAGGTCAACTTTTTTTAAACAGAAAGTTTTCTACTGTATTTTAAAACTTTTTTATGAGCTTACGTATCACTTAATGTGATAATTTAATAAAGTCATGAACTTTTTGAATCTGAAGAGATACCTCAAGATCTAATCAAGCCCCTCAATTTTTCAGAAAATAAAATTAAGAGTCAGCTAGATCTAATGACTTGCCCAGATTTTGTGAGTTTAGTAGTAAAGAACAGAATGCCTGGTTTTGTGCCTCTGCCACTATGTAGTGCTGTGGAGGTAGTGTTGTGTAGTGGAGAGAAAACAAGCTTTGTGTCCCCATAGATCAGTATTCAAACCTCAGTTCTGTCATCTGTTAGATGAGTGATCTAGGCTTTCCTAATTGGTATAATAGGGAGAATTATACTGTTTCTGTATATAATTGAAAGGGTTAATTGAGATACATATTTAAGAGCCTCACCCTTCTCCTTTCTTAAATACTGGTTGATTAAACACAAATAGATTACATTACTAGTATTGCTACTGTTAGTCTTTTCACCACCACTACTGCTACCACTACCACCTAACACTTATATACTTTGTTGTTAACCGTTTTGTATTACTGTACTTCTAAGGTTTATGAGGTAAGCATTATTTATTTCCATTTTGCAGGTAGTGACACTGACACACTGAAGCATGAAATTAAGATACTTACCCACAGTGATTTAAACTCAAGCTTTTTGATTCTTGATCAATGTATTTTCTTAATTTACTACTACACCATGCAGCATCCTAGTATTTTCTTTCCTATTACTACATTTTCATAGTAGTAGCTACTATTACTGTAAAGGAGCAAAGTTCCAAAGCATCGTGGTTATCTGTGCTTTACACAGTTTAAGAAAGAAACCTCTTTGGAGTTTTTGTAGTATTTTCCCCTTCATGCACTCTTGTTACTACACCTTTCTCACCACATTAAAATTTATTTTTGTTCCTGTCTTATAGGAAGAGTTGTTCTTTTGGGTTTGCCAGATGATCTTTTTACTCTTGAACTTTTTTTTTTTTTTTTTTT